TTCGAATCCCAGCCGGATCCATTACTTAAGCTAATACCATTGGTGAAGGTATCCATCCTCTTCTTCTCCCAAATGAAATGGTGGAAATAGCAGGACTGACTGGATTCTATAGCCTTCTGTAACAAGCGACCGAGGAGAAGGCAGCTTGCCTCAAAACACCATTTCTACTCCGGTTGCAGTAAAATTGGGTAACCCATGTATTAATTTCAAACACCAGGAAATATATATTCCTCCCACAAAAAAAAAAAATAGTCAATAAAGTTAATACGAAAATTATTTGGTTTGTCGAATTATTCCTGACTTGAAAACCAGAAAGAAGGATGACATTTATTTACATTTAATCTTACTTAATATAAAACGCAGATTTTGTGTGTGTGTGTGTGTGTGTGTGTGTGTGTGTGTGTGTGTGTGTGTGTGTGTGTGTGTAACGTTTATATATTGGATCGGATTTCCTACATTTTTCAACCGATTTCAACAAAACTTCACAGGACTACATAAAATTAACTTGTGGTGGTTCTAACAGCGCCAAAAATGGAAAAAATATAATTGTTTTTGCACAAAATCAATTTGAAAACACGATTAAGAGACATCGTAAAAATGGAAAGGGGACAACTCACATCGGCTTGTTTGTGTGTGTGTGGGTTCCTTTATATTCCATTTACAAGACAATTATTTATAATAAAATTCAATCGGGAGACTCATAACGATTGAAAACAATGTTTTTGTTTGAGTTTGGGTTTGACTAATTCGTAAAAAAAAAAAAAAAAAAAAAACAATAATCTTTGTCAATTTTATTTTTAAGTCTTTATGATGGTGGATACTTGATCTATCTCTTACTGTTATATCCCCGGGCAACGCCGGGATCTACTGCTAGTATCAAATAAAATGTTACTATTTAAAAAAGACACAATTGAACAGTACATTTTAAACAAAACTATTTAAATGCGAAACATCCTCATGAAAGATGTTTCGACTTATAGGCACGCAGTAAATCAATGTGATTTCTCATCTTCAGGAAATTTGTAAGTAACTCATATCAGTCATCTCCAAAATCTTTCCCAACTCACAAAAGTCCCGCACGTCTTCAAAGCATTCAAATGATTTTACAAATGGCGGAATTTTATTGATAGTTCTTTTAATGTCGTTGCTCAATGTGTATAATACAGCTGTTTGATGAATTCATTTCATTAAGTATTTTCTGTCTATTTTAAGATTTTATGCCTTCTGTAAATGAATTCATATTCTTTTTGATTTCCCTTGAGCCACAAAATATATTCTCACGGGGACTTTTCGTCGTCTATGGATGTTTTTATTCCATTCAGTATTGATGATGAAACATATTTTATATTATTTACTCCCTGTTTCCAGGGCTATTAACTTCTGTTGTTTAAGTCCGATATTAATATCAATAGTTTCTTTGATTTTATTTATTTATTTTATTTATTTTTATTTATTTATTATCATTTTTTATTTATTTTTTGGAGACAACATATATTAATGTCATAATTACTAACGCCCTGAACCAACAATTGTTGCTTTTTTAAAATCGGATTTACCCCAAGCAAGACAGTAAAGCCACTAAGACACAAGGCTGTGAAAGAATTAGAAAACAGAAATATTACTAAGGTGCAAGAGCAATGGAAATGTGACCAGGGAGACAGTTGATAGTGATTGACATTGCATTTCAATTTTTGAACATCAAAGTTGATATATATATATATATATATATATATATATATAGATAGATAGATCAAATATGGATAAGAATCCGATAAAATGATTGGATAAAGAACAAGTTGGAAACATGTCTCAATCTAACATATTTCGCGTTATTAAAGTTTTGTCAGAGATCAAGATGGAACTAATAAAAAATAATAAAAAGCAAAGAGACACAGATTAATGGCATGTTGTATTTCATTATTTCTTATTGGTTAGATACATGTCACGTGTAAAGAAGTAGTAGGTAATATCCAAATATATTTGAGGAACATTCTAGAGGCTAAAGTGTGTAAAATTAAATAAAAAGCTTAATTGTAGTACCTTCTCTGTCGTTTTTAATGAAACATATATAAATGATCGATCGCTGCCTAAATACACAACATTTATATATATATATATATATATATATATATATATATATATATATATATATATATATAGCTAATATTAGTGGTAAATATACACATACATATGCAAAATATATAAATATATATACATAGGTGCATACACATACATGTATATTTTTAGAAAAAAAAATTCCAAGAGGAAGAATCCAGGTAGAACTCAATGTCTAGGACAGAGTAAGGATATAATAAAAAGGCTTAAACACTAATATTCCATGGTCATAATTAATTCCATTGGAATCGTAAATACGATCAAATTCATATATATATATATATATATATATATATATATAAATATAATAAAATGTAATAAAAAGGCTTAAACATTAATATTCCATGGTCATAATTTATTCCATTGGAATTGTAAATACGATCCAATTCATTAGACCTACAAATTCAAAAAGAAAACAGAAAAAACAACTCTGGAAATAAACATAGAATTTAGAGAGAGTGTAAGTATGAGTGTGTGGGACGAATGTTAGAGCTAAAGAGAGGGGTAACAGACGAGTGAAGGTCGGAGATTAAAGCTTAACAGAGAGAAGTTTTAGAGAGGTGAGTGGAAAAGGTTTAAGTGAGAAAAACATGAATGTTGTTGAATGTCGAATGTCTGAGTTGTTTTCTGTTTTCTTTTTGAATTTGTAGATCTGATGAATTGGATCGTATTTACGATTCTAATGGAATAAATTATGACCATGGAATATTAGTGTTTAAGCCTTTTATTATATATATATATATATATGTATATATATGGGGGGTGCGTGTGTTTATGAGTGTGTGTATGCGTGTCTGAATTCAAAAACCTGCGGAGGGTCGTTGTGGCATTCGGTGCACCATGTCTCTGTATTCGTCCCTTCAAAAAGTGTTGAATGGTCCTGCACGAGGCCTTCACCACTATAATCAAATCTCATGTGCCAGTGTCGGGCTGTTGGTTTCCTGAAACTGATTTGCTTGACCCTCATACGTCGAATCTCGACGGGAGAGTCGATTATATATATATATATATATATATATATATATATATATATATATATATATATAAACGCATATATATATATATATATATATATATATATATATATATATATATATATAAACTCTGTAAATTTAAAAATAAGTTATTCCAAAATTCGCTTAAGGATGAAACAGAACTAATGCTTTTAATTTAATTATATAATTAAATTTGATGTTTTTTTTTGCTTCGGTTTTTTGAAACATGGTAATTCCTGTGTAGCTATGAAATCATATTTTAAATCAGTTAATTTATAATATTTATGCTCTGAAAATTTACATTGAGCAATGTTTTGTAAAAATAAAAAATATCACTAAGAACACGGCATTATATATCTTACTGTTCTTTCTTTTTATTATATATATATATATATATATATATATATATATATATATATCTGTGTGTGTGTGTGTGTATGTGTGTGTGTGTGTATGTGGTCAACAACCAGTGGCAACTGTCTGTTTCATGCTTAGAGGCAAAGTTCAATGGCCTGAAGATCGCGTTTTAGCGAGGATCATGCTTCAACTAACATTGTGGACTGACGCTACATAATCGCAAACAATGTTATGTACCAAATAATGAAATAAAAATAAATATTATCTCGAGTAGTTTGTAACACCCTATTTATCATCTCTCAGAGCGTCTCTGTCTTTGGGCAGATTGCGATCAGGGTCGGCTCCGCCGAATGACAGGGTCGGAACTGATGAAAATTATACTGAGAGGTGCCCAACCCTGGGGAACAGCTGCTCGAGGCCGTGTCCTCTCACTGCACTAGAGAGAGGAATTGGTGCTCGCATCGAGGCTAGCGCACCCGACGGTTACAGGGACTCGGTCAATTTTTGTTCCTAGCCCGGTTATACACGCTCGGGCTCCCCTTATTAAACCTATCTTGTTTCACAACCTGACCTCGTGGGTGGAGGTGAGTAAATACAAAGAAATCTACTGAACCAAATAACAGAAATAACATCACTTGAAGTCTTTCAACAACAGAAACAATTAAAATGGATTGTATATTTAACTCGAAAACAGAAGTAAAAATATCGTTAGGTTTTAAAATTTAACAAATAATAAATTAAATATTATCTAAGCTGTAAAAGTCAAGGTAAAGTATGGAGAATGCTAAGTGATGAAGCTTAATGTCTAATAAACAAAAGGGAGTATAATGTTAAATTTTTTAATTATTTAATTAGTTTTTAATTATATTATTTTAATTTGATAAAATATTTATTTATTTTAAATAATAGGTTTTAAATTCAACCATTTTATTTGGTTTTAAAATGTTTATGGTCACGTATGTTGGGTTGAAAAAGATGTAGATCTTTTAAGAAAGGGGATATTTTTGGTAAGATTCTAGATTTCTTGGAGCTTCGAAGGAACGCAACGTCTCTCCTTGAATTCAGAACGCCATAAAATATACTAACGTTATTTGATCAAGTCAAATGCGTGGGAAACATGATTAACCAGTGAACATCAAACAACACAGAAAAAAATACCAGTCATTAAAAATTGGTAATAAAAATTATATTCCTATTATAAATTTATTGAAACAAATTATACATATTCTTTATTACATGAGAAAATGAAATTAAATCTTCATATTTCAATGCAAGCACCGGTGGCGTCAACCTGTTTCCTCAAACGGCCAGGAATGGAATGAAGAACCTTCTGAAGGACGTCATGGGATATCATTGAGAGACTCCTGAATCCGTGCCTCTAAGTCCTCCAATGTGCGAGGTCCTGTCTTATACACCTCCTCTTTTGTGTAACCCCACAAGTAAAAATCACATGGAGTGAGATCTAGACTTTTTGGAGGCTATTCATGAGGTCCGCGTCGTCCCATCCAACGTCCTGGAAAATGTCGGTCTAACCACGCACGCGCAATGGGAGCAAAACGGTGTGGTGCAGCATCCTGCATGAATATCAGGTCACCAATCTTATCCCAGCCAGACAATGTGGGCCAGGCGTAATTTTCGAGTATCTGAAGATAGCGGTTCGTATTCATGGTCTCACGCAGAAGATATGGGACGACGACATTGTTGTCGTCATTCCGCACCACAAGGTCACTTTTGGTCGAGTTTGCATCCCTTCAATCGCCATGTTTGGATCGTTACCACACGAGCACGAGGTCCAGTAATGGTAGTTGTGACGATTGAGGAAACCACCAACATGGCTCGTCACTCCAGATGATGATTTCAAACAATTCAGGCCAATATTCATGCAAATCTAGCATTAATTCACCATATTCCATTCTGCGGTCAACGTCTTCAGGTTTTAGCTCCTGTACGTAAATAAAAAATCTTTGTTCAAAAAAAAAAATATATATATATATATATATATGAAGAAATATAGCCTTGAGGTGTGCTATATTTATGGAATAAAGTGCTCAATATCAGAGATAGAACGTGTGTAAATATAAAAGTGGACATAGAAGTCAACACTTAGAGACGACAGTGGCCTGACGATTGCGTCTATCATGAAACAGACTGTCGCCTCTAAGTGTTAACTTGTATGTTCACTTTTATATATATATATATATATATATATATATATATATATATATATAATGGACTCTCCTGTCGGTTTCGACGTATGAGGATCTGCCAGCTTATTGATTCAGTTATGAAAGTTTATGCAATAATCTTAAGTGGCATTTAAGAACCGCTAGTGATTTACAAAGGAGGCCACATATGGAGCAAGTGTGAGGATTGTGAGATGAGATCACTGTTATGTATATATATATATATATATATATATATATATATATATATATATGTATATGTATATATATATATATATATATATATATATATATATATATATATATATGACGTCACATTATGAAATGGACAAAGTTCGACAATTATTTTTTAAGAATTTTTATGTTTATATGTTCTTTTTTCATAGATAAAAATACTTAAGTAAATGCTCTGTTTATAATAAACATTATTAACAACATTTCCCGGCCTGAATGTTCGAGAAATTTTCATAGAAAATATGCGTCCTCCGACAGGAATCGAATGAGTATCCTATACGGAACCGTCATATAGCCCGACGTGCCTTAACTAATTGGGTGTTTGGTTAGCAAGGTCGATATCACTGTCTTTAGAAACAAGTCTCTATGATTTTCTCTCACACATTCATATCTGCTCAATTCGTATCCAAATGTAAACAAATGACGTCACACATAAAATAAAAAAGAACGTATAAACATAAAAATATATATATGCATACATACATATATATATATATATATATATATATATATATATATATATATAAGTGGACATTGAAGTCAACACTCAGAAGTGACAGGCTGTTTTATGCTAGACGCGATCGTGAGGCCGCCTGGCGATTGCATCTAGCATGAAACAGCCTGTCGCCTCTGAGTGTTGACTTCAATGTTCACTTTTATATTTATATTTACATACGCTCTATCTCTGATATTGAGCATTTCATCCCCTCAATATAGCACACTTTAAAACTATATTTCTGCATATATATATATATATATATATATATATATATATATATATATATATATATATATTGTGTATATTTAAGCGGCATATTTTCAAGCGTATGAGGGAGAGAGGGACATTGAAATTTTAATCTTTTAAATTTAAATCTTTTTTAAGTATGTGTTTCGGTATATAACTAATTTCATTTACCTTCTTGTTTTTTTGTTTACATTTTCGTCTCTTTGGTAGCCCATACACACACACACACACACACACACACACACACACACACATATATATATATATATATATATATATATATATATATATATATATATATATATATATATAGTTGTTTTAGACGCATGTTTCATCAAAAACGACAGACAAGGTACTATGGTCGAATAAACCATCTTCAGGACATATTCATAAAATATAATTAACATTTAATTTAATTGTCATGTTGAATTGATAATGTTAATTATATTTTATGTATATTATATTTTATGAATATGTCCTGAAGATGGTTTTTTAGACCGAAACGTCCGACGTTGACATATTAACATTAAAACAGCATAATTGCATATAAGGATTTTTGTTTGTTTTTTCCGTATATATTTTTCTTCATATATATATATATATATATATATATATATATATATATATATATAACAGTTTTGTCATTAAGTAACTTATACACACACATACACACACACACACATATATATATATTTTACACACGCTCTATCTCTGATATTGAGCACTTTATCCCATAAATATAGCACACCTTAAGACTATATTTCTTTATATATATATATATATATATATATATATATATATATATATATATATATGACACTTTTGTCATTAAGTTCTATACACACACACAGAGACAGATATATATATATATATATGTGTGTGTGTGTGTGTGTGTATTATATAGTTATTTACATAGTCCCTGCTAACCAACGGTAACATAATTACACATTCTGCATGTGTGACTCCAGGGTCGTCTTTTATATGAGGCTGATAAATATCTTCTTTAGCTTGTGTGCTCGAGCGTATGTTGGAGTCAGGTAACCGGTAAGATTATCCGCGTGTGAATGTCTTAAGATCATTTCAAATCCCTGTTAAAATCCGCTATCAGTTGCATCGGTAATTCGCCTGTCTACAATATCAAATACAAGCAACGATGTTTGAATTTAACTTTTCTTGCCAACGAGCCACTAATGTTTTCATAAGACACATTCTATTGGTTGGCATAATCACGTGATTATTAATTTGAGCCAAACAAATCCAAGCATAGTAAATATCATTACTGAACCGTCTCGGGTAGTTCGAGCCTCATTAAGGACACCATTTTCTTTTCCAGTAGAAGCTAAAGTTTCTAGCGGGTATTATCTGATCCTTAGCTAAAGCTTTTAAATAGATAACCCCACAGAAAACGCAATATCAAGGATTTAAAATGAATTTAAAAAAATGAAACGTTTTTTATTAAAGCTTTTATTTAAATTTTAATTTCAAACTAATAGATTAAATTTAATATTTCCAATAAGCAAAATACATTACTATATTTCAAAATCTAATTTAAATTTATTGAAAGGAGTTGTGTTTTTTTATTTTTTTTTATTTTTTGCTCATCTACCTGATGAGCACCCCTTTTTTTATTTGTCTTTAATCGCAATATAATTCTCCTTATTGAAAAATATTCCAAAAGTAAAATATATTTTTCTAAAAATTTATTTGAGGAATATTAGCTGATTTAAAGCATAGTTATTCTGATTTGAAACAAATATCATTTACTTTAGGTTTAAAATATTACAGAAATGCCATTTTAACAAAGCAGGAGTTGTTTATTAAAATTCTTGACATGTTCTAATGAAGCCTTTAGCCATAAAAATAACTAAATACATCGTGAGCGCCTTTTGTATATAATTTTTAAGTCTTCAGTAATCTTAAAAATTTAAGAATATATTCTCCGTAATTTAATGTCTTATTGAAATTTGGTAACCTTAAATGTTACTAGAGTTATCTCTCTTATATTTTGATAATGTCCTATATGAATAACTCTCTCTCCAAAAATTGGCACGTTTTGGCACGTTTTGTAAACATAAAAAAAAAATTCAATTTTTTTTAAAAATGTTCGTGTTTGTAGATTTTTACTAAGCTTTTCCATTTATGGTTAGTAAATACAATTTTTTTACTTAAGAATAATTTCATTTAAAAGTGTTAAATTAATACAGAATTTTAAACGATTATAAACTTAATAAATTATTCTAATTAAAATGTTTAAAAAATGTAAACAATTCTCGTAAATATTCATTATTAATCGAACATTTTTTGACTTAATACGATAGTGTCCTTAATAAAAACTTATTTATAAAAGCTACTAAAAGCGTTTCAATTTCTATTAGATTTTTTTTATTTTAAGATTCAAAGCATATTTTCGGTAAATGGTGTTTTTAAATTCTCCAAGGAGTCCTGCTTATAACTAATATAATTATGAAGAGGGTGAAATTTCATAAAAGTTGTTCTAGGTGACAATGGCCTAGTGGATAATCAACCATCTGTCATGTCGCTGTCAACATGCGAACAGCTTAAATAAACAACCACCACTGTTTTAAAAAATACATTTCCGTGATATTTTAAACCTAAAATAAATATTTGTTTCAAATCAGATTAATTATACCCTAAATCTTAAACAGTACGTGCCTGCTTAAATACTCAACAAAAATTTTCGTTTGGTGATACCATTCGAAATACATATGGGTCTTCTATAGCGGATCACTTTATAAATAATCTGACCTGTGCTATGGATTTTAGTGTGAGCTGATTCTCTGTTCTACCCAGAGCACACTCGTTATTCCATCTGAAGGTGTTGGGGACACGGTTCATCAGGTCCAGGCGACCCGCTCTTTGCAAACAAAGAGGCTGTTTGCTTGGGCTTGCGGTGCTGTGTCTCTAGCATCTTTGGTGTTATAACTTTTATTATTATATTTTTCCCTGTCCATTCATTCACGTCATCCGCGACAGATTTTCTTCTCATAATTTGTTTCCCCGTTTACAGTTCTGACGAGAGGGGACGAAACCGGTCGACTTGCGTTTGTATTTTTGTTTTAAAATTTATCATGGCTTATAGTAAAAGATTTCTCGCCTTTAATGCCATAATACGTTTTTTGTACCGTTAAAAACATATTTAAATCTATCTATATCTATATATATATATATATATATATATATATATATATATATATATATATATACTGATTCAATTTTCAGTAGTGCAACCGTTACGACTATCCTTGTTCGCTCTTTCTCTCTCTCTCTTCGTCATCCGTCTTTTTTCCATTTATAATTAGATATATTTGTTTCCCCAAACTCTTCCTGATAACATAGTTCTGTTTTTCACCATTCTGATGTTGCAATTATCCTGAAATCGGCGCACGCAGATATCAGAGAGTGGATGCTAAAAACAGATCAAAACAGATGGATTATCGTATAAAACAGTTTAGATAATAGCTCCCCAAACAATGATATCTATTAT